CAAGCGCTGCTCCGCACTCACTCCTCCCTTTTGCCCCGATGGTACGTGTCAATTTCACACAAGCTGCTGTGCGACCGCATTTTGCCCCGCAGCTTCGTGCGATTTTCCCCGTGTCCACTCAATCCTCAAAAAACAGGATTGAGTAGACACGGGGAAAATCGCACGAAGCTGCGGGGCAATATGTGGTCGCGCAGCAGCTTGTGTGAAATTGACACGTACCATCGGGCCAAAGAGAAGAGTGAGCGCGGAGCAGCGCTTGTGGGAAATCACCCTTAGTAATACCATCAGGGCTCATTTAGAGCTGGAACAAGCTGGAACAGCATTCCAGCAGTAAGAAGCCCAGGAGCAGCAAGCCCTGCCCCCAGCTCCCACCAGCCCTCAGTCGGGCCTGGAGGAGTGGGAAGCAGCACACACATGCTGCCTCCCTCTGTTTGTCGCCACCACCACCAGCCAGAAGGCAAGGTAAGTTGGTGGGGGTGTAGGGCGGGGACTTGTTTCAGGTGGGGGTAGCCAGGCTGGTCCAGGGGAGTGGCAGGGCCCTGATGGGGGGTGGGAGAGCCACGGGCAGCTGGGCTTCTTTCTAATATCTTTCTGTAAGCTTTTAATGTCTGTAGGAATGCTAATCTGTTTCTTCACCCCTCCCCTTGCCAACTAGATTTTGTGGGGGGGTTGCCTTAAAAAAAAAAAAAAAGGATGGAAAGGGAGACCGGGGCTCTGATTCTTTGGTTTAGGAGGCATGCATGCCTACCTGCCTGGGTTGTTGTAAAAGGATGGAAAAGGAAACCAGGGGCTCTTATTCTTTCTTCCTTCTTTTCTATTCCCATCTTTTTGCCTTCTTTCCAGCTCTCCCTCCCTCTCTGCCTATCTATTTGCTTTCTTTCCACTTCTTTCCTTTCTCCCTCCCTCCTTCCCCATCTCTTTTCTTTCTTTCTTTTGTTCCCTCCTTCTCTCTCTCTTTCTTTCCCTCTTTACCTCTTTCTCTGGGTGGGGCCTGGGGCAGAGGCTTGATGGGCAGGGGGGGACTGACCAAGATTCTAGCACTTTCCCTCCTTTCCTTCTCTCTTTCTTTCTCTCTCTTTCTTTCCCAAAGTTAGAAGAACAAAACAGAAAGGAGGGGATAGAAGATTAAAATTACTCGGTAATAGTTTGAGGGTGCAAACTCCAGATTTACAGAGTAAAATTAATAGAGAAAAAGCCATGTATATGAGGTTGAAGAGATAACAATATGATCATAGCAAATATGTTCTGTTACAAAGTTTTTTCTTAGGTACAGAATGTACTCAGAAGTTTTGCCTTCTGACATACTTCCAGTGATGTCAGGGGTGTGTGGCATATGCAAATAAGTTATGCTAATGAGTTATGCTAATGAGCTCCTGCACCTCTTTTTCTACGAAATGACCCCTGACTACCGTTCTTTTGTCCTATGCCATCTCATCCCAATGAGAGAATCTGTCATAAGCTAGATGTATGCAGGGTGTAGATTAGGTTAAAGGATTTTCTGTCTGTGTCTCAAAGCTCACAGTCTCTAGGTAAAAAGGTCTCAAAATCTGCCATTGCCTTACAGATCCAGCCATGTATCTGAAAGGCATATGAAGTGCAAAGGCCTGAGACCTCCAAAGGATTTTACAGCCCACTCCACCAGATCTGCAGCAACATCAGTAACCTTTTTCACTGGGGCTCTGGTGGAAGAAATCTGTAGAACTGCAGCCTGGTCCACCTTTTATACCTATGTGAAACACTATAGATTGGATCAGTTAAAATCTGCAGGAGCTTCATTTGGTTGAAGAGTGTGCAACATAGTGGTGGAATGAAATAAAAATGAGTATCCCACCTAGGTTGTAGCTTGGGCATGTAACCAGCCTGGATGACTTCTCGCACTGAAGGTGAACAAAACATTGGAACTTAGTTGAAGGTTTCTTCTCTTCAGTAGGGCAAAGTCATCCACATCCCACTGCAAAAAAACAACAACAACTAGTTGGATGCGAAATCTGTTATGGAACCGGGCTATATTAAGATTGGAGGGTAACCCTAACCCTGCAATTAATTGGGAAATGATGGATCATTTAATACTGAGAAATGCTTTTCTTACAAGGTCTCTTACAAGCAGCTGTCCAATTTCTTTTGGAAATATTTGGAGGAAGAGATTCCTCAGCCTCCCTAGGCAGCTTATTCCATTTTTCAACTGGTCTCATAATTAAATTTCTTCAAGATGGTTTCCCTGAATCTACCTGTTCAATCCACTACAGACAGAAAAACAATTGTTTCTGCTCTTTTTAAACCAATATCTTTTTGAGTTATTTTATCAGTATAAAAAGCCGGTGTGGAACTGTGGCTAAAAGCATTAACTCAGAGCCAGGATGATCTTGGTTCACGTCTGTCATTCATGAGCTTTCTGGAGGCATCAAACAACCCACAGTCTCTTATGCTCTTCTGTACTAAAATTGATATGTCTTACAGGAGTTTTATAAGGTTTACAGAGATTAGGTAAATGCAGAGATCGAATTTGCCCCTGGGCCTCAGAAAAGCAGGAAGATTATGGCCACCCTCCTCCCTAGTGCACCATGTTGACTGTCAATAAGGTGGAGTTAAGACAGAAGAGGGCCAGTCCCCCCCAGTCTCCCAAAAGAGGGAGGGAAGGAGAAGGCTTCTCCCTGGCCAGCTACTGGGGCCATGGCAGACCCTAGTGCCACGGAAAGGCAAGGAAGAAAGTAGAAGAGAAGAAGAAGAGATTGGATTTATTCCTTTTCCTTTCTTCTTCCCCTCCCCACAACAGACACCCTGTGAGGTAAGTGGAGCTGAGAGAGCTCTTTGAGAACTGCCTTTGAGAGAACAGCTCTGAAAGAACTTGTGACTGACTCAAGGTCACATCAGCAGCTGCATGTGGAGGAGTGGGGAATCAAATCCGGTTCTCCAAGATTAGGGTCCATGCTCTTAACCACTGCACCAAACTGGCTCTACCACAGGAATCCTAGGTCTGCCCATTGGGCTTACTGTCCCTCCAGGCAACAGTTTCACATGGTACTGAAAACAGTTTCCCTATAGCGAAAGGCTCCTAGCGATAACATGTATAACTAGTTGTCATATGGCTGGCTACCATCATGAGATGAGTCTTCATCCTTCCCAGTAAATTAGCACTATTTTTCTAGCAGTGATACCAGCAATAGTACATAAATTTCTGGATTGTGGTCTTACAGGCACTATGTAAAGCTGTTCTGCTACTTCTCAAGTATTGAAGTTTAAATTATGTTGACCTTATAATGCCATACCATCACACCATGGACTGATTGTAGCTGATTATTCATGATAACCCCTAAAAGTTAATATTATTCTCTGAAATGTTCCTACCAAGCCAGTTCCACTGCCACTCACATTTGCACTTCAATATATCTAATTCTCAATGTGGCCAAATCAGTCAATGCATAAATCTGAAAACTGGAGCCATGTTAAAACCCTTCCAAATGGCAGAAGTAGTACCTGTACTTTTAAGAAACAAATGCCCTCAGTAACCATTAGTAGGTAACCATAACTGTATTGCCAGCCATCAAGCCTTGGTTTCTATCAGTAAAAGGCAGGGGGAGGGGCAGGACCCATTCCATGGCTATTTTGGCCTTTGAGGGAGGATTCATTGTGCCAGATCCAGCAGCAACCACCATTCAACTTGCTGCCACACAACTAAGCCTGTTGCAACTGGGTCCAGCCTTGCATGGCACAGGCAACTGAGCCTGGAACATCCTGGCATGGAACTGTGCAACTGAGCCTGACACAGCACAGCCAGCACAGTGTAAGTTAGCCTCGCATAGCCAGCACAGCGCAACTGGGACTGGCATGGCCTGGCAACAAGCACCACACTACTCAGCCAGAGATTTCCCTAGGAGAGGCTGCCAGGGAGATGTACAAAAGGAAAGCAGAAAATGGGGAGGGTTCATAAAGGTAGTTTGTCTTATGGGCGGGAAGGAGAGAATGAAGCAGGAAAGGAGAAGCTATGGGTTCTTTCAGGAAAGGGAATGAGGTAATAGGTGGGGAGGGAAAATGAGATGCCCTGATCACAAGTTCTTGATGGCCCCCCACTTGTTAATTTCTACTTTCCTTTATGTAACAGTTTGTTACTTCTTATTGATTATCATTACTACTGCTGTCTCCCCCACCTGACAAGTTTTTAAATATAATTTTGAATGTTTAGCCTGTCCTCTAGAGTATTTGCAATCCATCTCAGTTTTATATGGCCGGTCATTAAAAAGGCTAGTTAGGAAGCAATCCATCGGTGCATTTGGCATTTTGTTTCAAAGTAAATGATGTCACTGATGTTATGATAACAAATGCTGTTTTGAAGTATCCCCCACTTTTTTTCTTTTGGAGGCATTCATTCCTGGCAATAACTATGTGTCAATGAAACTTTCCCTAGAGCAACATCTGCTGTTGCCTGTATTTTCCAGCCTCAGTTATAAAACCAATAAACTTCTGGGTTTCATTTCTTCTGGTGGATGGAATTGCACTCAGTACAAGGCATCAGTTTCCTAATTAATGCTGAACATCCCTGTGGCCTTTAAAAATAGTTATTATTCTTAACACCTTGCTTTTACATTATATAATAAAAGTTAAACATGATGAATATGAAAGTTGACCTAGAGTTCATATATAGCTGATGTCTGAGAATATTATTAGTAGATGTTTCTGGCAAGAATACTGAGATAGAATTACTTGTAGACAGAGGGAAAAGTCCATGAAATTGTGATCTAGATTGTAGCACTGGAAACTGTATGATACTTTCTCTTACCTAAAGCCCTTAGCAGAACCCTATTTATCTCTTACCCATGATTAACTATCTGTAGAACTATATACTACATTTTACACTCCTCCCCTATCCCACAGTCATTTTAAATGTATTGAGCTCAATAGCATAAACAACAAAAAAAGCATTGGTAGAAGAAGTTTGTGCCCCTACAAATTTGGAATATGTTCTAATTTATAAGCATTAATATAGAGTTACTTTGCTCCACTAGGATGCTATTGTTATCCATGAAGTTTATGATGAAGGGGCAGCTGCTAGAGATGGTCGACTTTGGGCTGGGGATCAAATTCTTGAGGTAAGGCTAATCTTTATAAACTCCATCTTCCATTCAAAACTTATGTTTTAAGAGGAAACCCATGGATTGTCCTAGAGTTCAGAACAAAGAGTTAAATTTGATTTAATACTATATATAATCATAAATTGAAATAGCTGTATTTGAACCTGATTAAAACCAACTCTGACTTTTTGATATTATATTAATCCTGAACCTGACCCCCAGAGTGCTGATTTTAAAAAACCTGCACATTTAGGCCAAGTACAGATGGAGGGGCAGTCTATGGACCTCTGGGAACCCCCAGGTTTGCAGAAAAATCTATTTTTTTTTAAACAGAGGGGTAAAATACATCCTCCAAATGGAAGAAGACAGACAACATAAAGGGAAAGAAAAGTTTTCATAGCATAGGTTTTCAACATTTTGGTTGCCATATTTGAAGGTGGTCAGCAGTGGAGCAGGAGCAGCCAGGGGAGGGCAAGAAGCTAAGCAGGCAGCAATAGCAACAGATAGGCAAGTGGTGGCAGCCAGGGTGGGAGAAGCTAGATGGTGGCAGCAGCAAGTGAGAGAAGAAGCTAGATGGAAAAGCAACAAGGTAGTAGCAGGAGCTGCTGGCATGAGGCGGTAGCACTGGCACTGCTTTCACCCTCCTTCACTAGCAGCTGCCCCTGCCAGGAAGAGAAGGTTGTGAAGCAGCAGCAGCCAGAAAGAGGAGGTGACAACTGCTTCTGTCTCCTTTTCTCAGCTGCTGCATCTGCCAAGGAGAGATGGCATGGCAAAGATAGTAACTGGGAGGAGGAGGCAGCAGGTCCCCTCCTATGAGATCCTTAGGTTGTTCTTTGTTTACAATAATTTGTGTATGTGTCTTAATTTAAGAACTGAAAATAATTTCCAGACAATGAAAATTTTAAATATGTTCACATAAGCCAGAATCTGCCATCCTCTGGAACTGCCCTCCAAAATAAAATAAAACTGTGTCAGCCTGAGCTTTTTATGAACTTTTCTGTTTTAGAAATGCTTTATTTTGAGTTGTTAGATAAGGAACGGTTAAGAAAAAACTTTGTGCTAACAGAATCATAGAAATGGAGTCAAGCCACTGTGGTCACAGAGCAGCTACAAACATCTTGCTGGGAAGTCAGGGTAAATTCCCAGCACACCTATTATAGACTGTAAGAAAGAAGGTTAGGAAAACATTGAGGACTGTTTGGAAATTACTGCTGCTTTTCCACAGAAGGTTACTTATTTTAGTCGTTGTTCTATTAGCTTAATACTAAATTACCAAAATATAATTAATAATGTGGAATTATTAATGAAACATGAAGAAATTTTTATTTAGAAAATTTGTTTGCCTGACCTGTGCAGTTTGTGGCCATTTGAACTGATCTGAGGAAGCTAGAATATAGCACTACATTCATTTGAGCCTCATTCAATTATCTTATCTGAGACAAACACAGAGCAAGTTGTGCATCCAGGAAAAAACAAAATGCTATCTTCTATGGGAGGAGAGCGCATGGGAATAATTGGAATCCAGATTTCTGTGATAAGTACTGTAAATGGAGGCTGGGTGAGTCTAGGCTGTATGTTTATCATTCATGTTTGCACATACATATCCACTTTGCCAGTAGACCCTATCACTTAGGGCATTTTTGCATGAAGTCAGATATTTACCTAATTACTACAGTCTGCGCACATAGCGGAGTCTCCAGTCAACCCTGGTTCCCAATCTATCCAACTACAGACAGTGGAATCAATGTAGGCTTTATGACAGATATGTTGCTGGTTAGAGTCACTTCCTACTAAAGCATTTCTGTTCAGTATTTTAGGAGAACTAAAAAAAAAGAAAAGATCAATTTTCTACCCTCCGTTTCTCTGGCCTAGAAAATAGCCTCATCTATTGAGGAGGAGGAGGAGGAGTAGGAAGCACATGAGGAAGACTTGCCTTTTGGGAGGAAAACAAGAGAATGTTGGTGCTTTAGCCTCTGAGCCTGGGGAGACTGAGTGTCCTCATTGGTCAGTTTCTATGAAAGTGCTATTGCTGCAAGTCCCTGCCAAATTCTGGCCTCATATCCAGTAATTCTTATATCCTGATTTAGAAGTCAGCAAGTCCTCTAAGTCATATTAGTCACATCACATGATCATCCTTTCAAGAGAAAACAGCGGGAATGAAATAGGAAGTGCTACAGACACCAAACTGATTCTTCAGAGGCTGGATCAGTAAGTCTAGAAAGGATAGGCTGTCCACCCCAGAGCCTTTTCTTTAGGAACTCCTATCTGAAATCAGACATTGAATTGCCAGTCCAGAAGAAAATCTGTCCCCTACCTAGGATTGTCAGGTCCCCTCTAACCACCAGCAGGGTATGGAGGGGATGGATTGCCATATTCAGGCTGAGAAACTCCTAGGGATTTGGGGATGGAGCCTTGAGAAAACAGGGACCTGAGTGGGGTATAATGCTATAGAGTCCGTTCTCCAAAGCATCTGTTTTCTCCAGAGGAATTGATCTCTGTAGTCTGGAGATGAGCTGTGATTCCAGGGGATCCCCATATCCTACCTACAGACTGGCTTCCATAAATTACCGGGATCCTCTGCAGTTTTCCAAATTGCATTAAATCCAGCCACATGGGTGCCTTTCCCAGAACAATTCAGTGATATTTTATGACAGAGTTGCACAGCCTGTCCAGCACTTTCCCATTCCATAAGGTTCTCAAGCTTTCTCAAAAAGTTTGATGGATTTATGATGAGCTTCCCAATCACAGTAATCATTGTAGAAAACAACTCCATTCTGTGGAGAAATGTCAAGGCTTTAGTGCCTTACACAGAGAAAGTGCACAACTTCATTCTGTACGAGCCCTCACTTGTGAGGCATTCACTGCAGATGCTACCCATTAAATCCATCCAGGTGAACACTGTAGCCTGTGCCAGGTCAAAGTAAAGAACAAGTGGTTGATGTTCCTTCTTAGTTTGTTGTTGTTGTTGTACTTTTATTTTGTTGACTGTTGGATTTGATATGGTTGAATTCAAATGGAAGAAGGGGACACGGTTTTGGTGTCATGAAGAAAGGAGGAAAAGAGGCTTTCCTAAAGTGCCCCCTTATTCAGGAATGGTAAATCATAGCATCAGAGGTCTGGAATCCAGAAGGGGAATAAAGCCGCCCAGAGAATACAAATTAACAAATGAATGGAAGCATTAAGATGAAAATCCCCAGGCCTATAGCAGGACCTGCTTGTACACACAGATTTTAAAGAGACCTACATCCATGTATCTTATGCTCCACCATACTGAATGTTTCTTCATTTCAGCTGCAACAGGACAAAGGGGCCACAATGGTGCTCTGCCTTTATATGCCTCATCTAGTGACCTACCTAAATTTCCAGAGCTATAGTCTCCAAAATTGTTTCATTCAATACTATATAGGATCTTTAAAAAATGGTATTTTTTGTTCTCAGCTAAATTAAGAGGACACCTCTTATATATGCAGAGTGTTGGAGAAGATTTATATGGACGTTAACCTCAAATCCTCCAGGAATTAAAGTACAATATATGTTTCAAGGGTTTGCGTTTTATTTATTTCAACGAGAATAGATTCCTGTTTAGTCAGGAAAATTATACAATTGTGTCATCTACATTTATTAAGCAGCAACATTTGTTTTAAGAGCAATTTAATAGAAAACTCCAGGATTGGTCTTGTGTGCCATCTATTGGAGTGTATAAAAATAATTTTCTTGTAGCTTTCATTGCAAAATATTCCTTTTAGTGTTAGATGTGACGGCCAGAAACAAATTAAGGGCTACATGGACAGATACTTCTGAGTATTCATATTAGTCACAGAAATTAAAGTCTTACAGTACAATCCTATGCCCAATTACTCCAGTCTGATTTCAATGAGCTGAGACTGGAGTAACTCTGCACTGTTGGTCTATCAGACTTTAAACAAATTAACATGTCTATTCTTTGGTGACAAACTGTACAGAAATAGGATTTTTACTACAAAGTGGTAAAGAAGTTTCTCTTGGAACTTTAATAAGTCCATAAATAGATATTAGACTGAACACAAGTTTATATATATCTAAATCGCTGGGGCGTTTGGAACTTTTTAGCTCTCACTATGGCAGCTAACCTGCTTGTTTATTTCTTTTCCCCATCTGTTATCTTCTCATTTGTAACAGAATATTGTTACTTGAAGTATGCTTAATGACTGTAGGGTACATTCTTCATTACATATGAGAGTCTGTGAGAAAGTTTGAATGTGATGGAAATTTGGGATCTTTGAGAAGGCAAAGAGGGATTTTATGAGCTGGATTGTGTCCTAGTAAGATATCATGTATTCAAGAGCCAATATAGGATTCTTCTGCAAATCCCAGTTACAGAAAGGAAGAACCTCCTGGAACATAAGAACATAAGAGGAGCCAATGTTGGATCAGGCCAATGGCCCATCCAGTCCAACACTCTGTCACACAGTGGCCAAAAATACCAGATGCCATCAGGAGGTCCAGCAGTGGGGCCAGAATACTATAGGCCCTCCACTGTTGCCCCCCCCCAGCACCATGAATACAGAGCATCACTTGCCCCAATGTCCCTATCTGTACCTTGTGGCTAATAGCCACCGATGGACCTCTGCTCCATATGCTTATCTAATTCCCTCTTGAAGCCATCCATGCTTGTAGCCGCCGCCACCTCCTGTGGCAGTGAATTCCATGTGTTAATCACTCTTTGAGTGAATAAGTACTTCCTTTTATCTGTTCTAACCTGACCGCTCAGCAATTTCATGGAGTGCCCATGAAGTCTTGTATTGTGAGAAAGGGAGAAAAGTACCTCTTTCTCTACCTGCTCTTTCCCATGCATAATCTTATAAACCTTGATCATGTCACCCCTCAGCTGTTGTTTCTCCAAGCTAAAGAGCCCCAAGCGCTTTAACCTTTCTTCATAGGGAAAGTGTTCCAACCCTTTTATCATTCTAGTTGCCCTTTTCTGCACTTTCTCCAAAGATATAATATCCTTTTTAAGGTGTGGTGACCAGAACTGTAGACAGTATTCCAAATGAGGTCGCACCATTGATTTATATAGGGGGATTATGATATTGGCTGATCTGTTTTCAATCAAATTTGGATGGTGTATGGCTTGACGCTTGTGGCTGATGGGTTTTTGTTTCCTAGAAGTTCAACATTCTATGGGATTCCATTGGCCCGATCCAACACTGGCTTCTCTTATGTTCTTAAATTTCTTTCAAGGAGCCTGGAAATCTTGATTCATTGCAAAGTGCTTCCTAGAGCATATCATGTCTCTTCTAACCTTGTTTAATACAAATGCAACCTAAAATAAAGCATTTAATGGATCATATTACTACTGGATACTCAGTAGGCTGGATACTCTGAGGCATGTTTTGGTCCTGATACACTGACAGGGCTCTTTTTTTTTGTAGTAGAAACTCCTTTGCATATTAGGCAACACACCCCTAATGTAGCCAATCCTCCAAGAGCTTACAGTTGCTCCTGTAAGAAGAGCTCTGTAAGCTCTTGGAGGATTGGCTACATTAGGGGTGTGTTGCCTAATATGCAAAGGAGTTTCTACTACAAAAAAGAGCCCTGCATTGAAATAGCCTTTAGGGGTTCTAATTTGAGCTAAGGAGAACTGGCCCAATGCTGAAGTAATAGAAAAGCATTATTGTAAAAGGAGATGGAATGAGACTTTCAGTAGTTGTTCTTTCTTCCTGAGGAAGGGCCAGAAGTCTGAAACACTGGAAAAATTACCTAGGAAAAGTGTCAAACTTTTTGGATATTTCTCTTGTATATTTATTCTTTGGCTTCTGCATTTTCCTATGATGGACATGGATAGATTTATTCCAGACAATAAATGCATTTCCTTTGATGAAGTCTGCTTTGTGAATATTTTGCGAGAAATTCAGCTCACAGTTGTTTTTTTGTTATTCTTTGCTATTGGTTGGTGGTTCACCACAAACTACAAAACAAAGTGCAAAAATGCAGTTCGTGCCTATCCCTAGTCTCATTAACAATAAATGTATTGATTATTCTGTTCCGTAACCTTGCTAATTAAATCCAATAAGCAAATGTTTCTGTTAATATAAAAATTTGATTTTCTCCAGGTTAATGGCATCGACTTGAGGAATGCTAGTCATGAAGAAGCTATCACAGCCTTGAGACAGACTCCTCAGAAAGTGCAACTGGTTGTTTACAGAGATGAAGCTCATTATAAAGATGAAGAGAATTTGGAGATTTTCCATGTAGAGCTACAAAGGAAAATGGGTAGAGGATTAGGGCTAAGTATTGTTGGCAAAAGGTAAGGGTTATACTTAAACACAGCTCTGTTTAGAGAAGAACGTTCTTGTAGTAGAGCATACACAATTTATTTATGTATTTATTAAATTGGATTTGCTAGACCACCCTTCCCTACACGTAGGGCTCAGGGTGGCTTACAACAAGTAATATACAATTTCTCAGATTAAAATCTAAATTTAAAACAACCAATAAATATCAATAAGTAAAAACAATGTACATATACATATACAGGATGGCGGGGAAAAATTCAGCTCCCCAGGCTCTCGGGGGGGAGGGGTTATGAGGGGTGGGGGAAGGGTATGAGAGTACCAGGGAGTGCCCCACTGCTGTCTTCAACCAAACGCCCGGTGTACATGCCCTGTAGAAAGGAAAGGTAATAACTCCTGCAGGGCATGGATGTCTTCTGGCAGAGAGTTCCACCAGGTGGGGGTCAGGGCTGAAAAAGCCCTGGCCCTGGTTGAGGACAGCCAGACTTCTCTCAGGCTGGGGACCACCAGGAAGTTCTTATTCCCTGAGCACGCTCTTCCAGGGGCATACTGGGAGACGTGGTCCTGAAGGTATGTAGGTCCCTGACCACTAAGGGCATTGAAGGTCAAAACCAGAACCTTGAACCTGATCTGGGGCTCCAGTGGCAGCTCATGCAACCAGGTGCCATCAGGAGAACTTCCTTTTTTCCGTTCTAAGCCGACCGCTCAGCAGTTTCATGGAGTGCCCACGAGTTCTTGTATTGTGAGAAAGGGAGAAAAGTACCTCTTTCTCTACCTGCTCTTTCCCATGCATAATCTTATAAACCTCGATCATGTCACCCCTCAGTCGTCATTTCTCCAAGCTAAAGAGCCCTAAGCACTTTAACCTTTCCTCATAGGAAAAGTGTTCCAACCCTTTTATCATTCGAGTTGCCCTTTTCTGCACTTTTTCCAAAGCTTTAATATCCTTTTTAAGGTGTGGTGACCAGAACTGCACACAGTATTCCAAATGAGGTTTCTTAAGCTTTTCACAATGAGTTAGATTCTTTAAGATGAGAGACTTTTGTTTCAGTGTTTCCTAAACACTACAGTATACTTTCTTGAGTATATTTGACTCTTTTGGTTTCCTGAAGGCAACATTACTCTGTCCAGTACCCAAATTCCTCCACTAAACTCATCAGTACTCTTCTTGAGGTTTACTGACTCTTTATGTTTCAAAAGGCAGTTTCTAAACACATTTGATCAGGGATCTCTCCACTCCTCAGAGTTATCTCTCTTTTCCGAATAGGTAGGGAATCTCTTCTCACTAGAAGATCTAGCCCCTTTTCTGGGCTGAATGGGAATCTTCTCTGATCTACCCACTTCTCCTGCCAACCTCTCAGTTCTCCATCTGTGTTAAACTGCTCTCAGTCAGGGTGAAACACAAACCCTGTCAGTACTAAACACTTCTCAGTCAGGGCTAGGCTTGGACTTGGCAGTACTAGACTCTTCTCAGTTAGGGCTGAATTCAGATTCCCTTCTCCTCAGCATTCAGCTCTCAAGTCTTTCTCTACTCACCTGATGCTAACCAATCATATTCTTTGGAGGAGCCTGTCACTCAAGGCTCTCTGTTTCTGTGAGGAATTAACCCTTCCCAATCTATTTACCTGTTTACAAAGCACTTACGAGATTTTAAAGTGCAGTCTGTCACAGAAATATAATATGTACAAGGGTGGACCCGCAAGAAACTTGCGGGGAGGAGCCATTCCCCCACTAATGCTTCCTTCCCTCTCCCCCTCCCACTTTCTTTCTCTCCCCAAGCCAATCCCTCCTTTTTCTTTACAACCCTCCAATTCAACTCCTTCCCCCCCCCCAAGCCATCCCCCTTCTTTCTCCCCCCCAAGCAAATACCCCCATCTTTCCCTTTCTCTTCCCCCCCCCAAGCCAATCACCCCCTTCTTTCTCCCCTCCTTTTCTCCTAACATTGAGCCCGGCAGTGGTGGCAGTGCCTGGGAGGCCAAGCCAGTGCAGGCTCAGCCATAAAGCCACCCACCGCTTTCTGTCCCTCTTTGCTCCTGGCTTCCCAAAAACGGAAGAACCTGCAAAGGCCTCATCACTAGGAAAGCCATTGCTAAGGGCAGTCACATGCTCAGAACTTTCCAAGGCGAGAGAAAGCTGCTCATCATTGGTAAGTCCTTTCCCTGCGCATGAGCAGAAAAAGCTGTTGTACTTTTGGGGAGATTTAAATATCCCCATATCTTTTTTTTAAGTTTTTAGATTTTTCTGCACAGCTGGGGGATGCCCCAAATGTGCAGGATAATATCTTTTCCCTCCATGTGCCCCTGATCTGCGGAAATAAGTATCCGCACACAGGGGGCCATGTTGGGAATTAGATATATAGATGGTGTGGAAAGTTAATGCTCAAGCACTTTTCATGCTGCTTTGTGCATAAATAAAAGCCATACTAATTTGTAAGAGCCAATTCTCTTCTAAGACCAAAGATTCAAGGACATAAACTAGAAGGCCAAGAATGATGAACTAAGGATGAAGAGGTTAAATGCTCTTTCAGTTGCTATTTATGTAATTACTTTATTTATATCCTCCCTTTCTTCCTTCATGGAACTCAAGGCTACTTGCATAGAATTCTCTGGGGGGGTCTCCCACCTGCTTATCTTCAACAAGGTTGCTGAACCACATACCCACTAGTCCTTCCTGTGGCCCACTTAATTTACAAATACTATTGGATCTATGCTTTTGGCTTCTTTCCTGCTTACTAGGCATATTGTAATTACAAATCCTCTTTCTAAATATCATTTCACATTTCAGAGTAGAGCCCTAGTACAAACTGCTGTTTTCTCATCTGGAATATAGGTACAGTAACATTGAACTATCTTACAGGACAACTGTAAGGATTACTAGGATAATGTACAGAACTATTATTGTTCTTCTACATAGCAAATTGTGTCTGAATTTTTGTTTCGAGACTAAAATGTGGGTAGTGACTGAGGGAATTCTAGCCAGGATTTTCTTCAGTAACTTTGTATATCAAATCCCCTGACGTGGTCCTGCCATTTGAAAAATAAGGGGTCCAGTCCCAATTGCAAACTGTAAGTGCTGTCTGAAATACTGTCCTCAGAAACAGCATGATGTGGGGATCTGCAGTGTAATAAGAACCTATTGTATTGAGTGTTGTCTCTGAAACTTTTAAATGTCTGTATTCCTAGAGTCTGTCACTTCCTTTGAATATCTCATTTTTAAAAATTGCATATAGAAACTATTTTTGCTTGTTTAATAGCCATGTACTTCTTGCATTGTTAGAAACGGAAGTGGGGTATTTATCTCTGATATCGTCAAAGGAGGAGCTGCAGACCTTGATGGGAGACTAATTCAAGGGGACCAGATCTTGTCTGTCAATGGGGAGGATGTAAGACATGCTTCACAAGAGGTTGTTGCCACTATTCTCAAGGTGAGCCATATGATATATTCTTCTGTTCCAAACCGCAGTTGTAAACATTCTAAAAGATGGTTATAGACTTGGATCCACCAGAACTTTCCACAGAAAGAGGAGATTTCCATCTGTGTAGTTAAAATTCCCCTCCTCCTCCTGTAGTCCAGAATTACCCGTGAAATGCTGCTCTTGGGGGATAGAATAGCTTGGGGGAGTCAGAGGTCTGTAGCATTGGGGAAGCATTGGCAAAATCGACCCCTTCTGTCCATAGAAATTTTTCATGGGATCCAAGCAATGCTCTGTGCCAATCCAAAAATTAGATTTGACACCCAACCGTAGTAGAAGAGCCAGTACATTAAGCAGTAGGATAACTGGCAAATGATTCTGGGGGCTGGAGCTTCAAAAAAAGTTGGCTGATGCTTATGTACTTGAGATCCACCCCCCCCCACCCCCAATTTAACATACATCATGGAGATACTGAGGAAATATTCTCATTCATGAAGCAAATACTTCAATTCATTTAATTGTTGCTAAAAGAAGAAGAAGGGAAGATACTTGATGATTATGTGAAGATCCCTTGTATCCTGGGATTTACTCCCAGGCAAGTGTTCATAGAATTGCAAGCCAAGGATTAGATCTGGGAACTCATGGGCGTGAAGATCATCAATCTTTCGCAAGTTCCCTTCCCCCAGCGGTCCTTTCTGACCCTGGGAAAATTTATTTCCAGGCTCATTAGGCCTGCATGGACTTAGTAGCCACCTGCATTGGGAGTCTGGAGGGGAGGGAGGCAAAATCTCCCTCTGCACTAACAGAAGAGTCAAAAAGGGAAATTTCTTCCCCCTCAACTTCCTTTTTTTTTTAAACAAAATTTTTATTCAGGATATAATCATTCACATCCAACACTGATTTTACATTTATACCCATTACATCCTACCCACCTCCCTTCCCCCCCCTTACATGGCTTCCCACAGTGCTACGACCTCCTGTAAATTTCTTAACTTTCTCTCCTCCAACCACTTCTTGATTACAAGTTCACTAGGTAACTGTTATTTAACTATTACAATTGTATCTCTATCCTTTGATATTACTAAAAATCAATACTCAGTAGTTATTAAAGCAAAATAAGTTGTCTCTTACATCCCAATATTTTTCCAAATGGTCTTTTAAGTCTTTCCAGTCCTTATAGAAATCTTCTGCTTCCATATTATTAAGTTTCCGTGTCATCTTGTCCATTTCAACCGAAAACAATAACTTTTTAATCCAATCCTCGACTCTCGGGACTTCATTTTGCTTCCAGTATTGAGCATAGGTCATTCTGGCTGTTGTTATCATATACCACATCAATGTCCTTTTCGCCACATTGACCTCTTCCATTTTTAGTCCCAAAAGTAATATTTCTGGTTCTTTCTTAAATTTACATTTCACATTTTTTTCCATCTCTACATGAATCTCACTCCAAAATTTTTTTGCCTTTTCACATGTCCACCACATATGATAAAACGAGCCCTCAACCCTTTTGCACTTCCAACATTTGTTTGACATATTAGTAGTCATATTAGCAATCTTTTTTGGTGTCATATATCACCTATACATCATCTTACAACAATTTTCTTTTAAATTATTACATGTTGATATTTTCAGTGCATTTTTCCATAAATACTCCCAAGACTCCATCGTTACCTCTCAACTTCCTGACCTATATGGATCCATGTAGGTCCTGCAACCTCACGAGTGAGCTTTTCCAAGGTCAGAAAAGATTGTTAGAAGGAGAGCAACAGAGAGAAAAACAAACAAACCATGGCTGTCAGTGCCTTCCACTGATGGATTGCTGGGCTCAATCCCATGTCTTATAAAAAAAATAAATATTTTATGCTCTTGTGAATTAAATCTATTATGTGTGCTCTTTTAAAAAGGCACAGTTCTAAAGGGACTTCAAAATATAGGGGTGCTGTATGCTTCCTTACATTAAAAGACCTCTCTGCACATAGAAAACAAGCAGTGCAGAGACAGAAAGCTAACTAATTATAGGATTGAGACCCAGAATTGGAAGGTGGATTATTAATTATATGATCTCTTGTTAAAACAATCATTAGGCTTTTGTGTTATAAAATGGCAAGGGTGAGATTTTGGTGTGTGGGTGAAGATTTCTTGGTAAATGAATATATTCCAAGAGGGATCTAAGAACTGCCTGGTGTATTTCTTTTATCTCCTAAGTGTGCTCAAGGGCTTGTGCGGCTAGAGATTGGACGACTTAGAGCTGGATCTTGGCTGTCTTCACAGAAAACATCTCAAAACAGCCAGGTTAGTGGCAGATGGTGGTGCATTATATAAGAAATGGGAAATTGATTTGATAACATCAGCTTTTGATGTCTTTGCTTTGTATGCAGTGATTGCAGCGAACAGACTTTCAAATCCAACTTACTGATTTACTTCTATTGGTAATCAAAATAATCTTTTAAGCAATTGGACAATGTATTCGCATAAAAGGAGGTTTGGAATCCTATTTTAGAAGTATACGTATATTCTTATAATGTGGTGGTTATTGTGTCATGTACTTCCTTTTTCTTGATGTATTCATAAAAATAACAATTGCATAAGCAATCTGATTTTAATATTTTATCTCACTTCTTAGCTCTCTTGAAGTCAAGCTAGATAATAAGTTTTACAGCAATAAAATTAAGTCACTATCAGTGTTCCCTCTAAGCTGAGTTACTGTGAGATAGCTCACAATTTTTTAGCCTCCGGCTCACAGATTCTTGCCTTAGCTCAGGAAGGATGGCTCCAGAGGAAACTAATTTATGCAGTAGCCAAATCACTCGCTCACAACTTTAATGCCAGTGGCTTACAAAGTAGAATTTTTGCTCACAAGACTCCACAGCTTAGAGGGAACATTGGTCACTATAAGTATTATACATGAGACTGTACCTCTGTCACAGTCCCGCCTCTTTGGCCATGAACCCCTTTCTTTCTTGAGACTGAGAGGGAAGGGGGTTTCTTGGCATTCTTGCATTCCTTTCATTCAGGCAGTGAAGAGCACCCTCCCCAGCTGCATACCAGTCCCTTTTAAAGATAGTATGATGTGCCACACATGCCCTATCAAGCTTTCTGGCCTCTTTTCCATCTCACGAGAAGCACAGTCCCTACCTCGTGCTTTGCCCAGCCACCCAGAAATGTCACAGCTCAGTTCTTGGGTTGGTGGCAACTTAATGGCCCCTTCCATCATGACAGTGACCCTGCTGCCATCCCAGAGTGGCCAGCAGTAATGTCCCCAAGCATTATATAATCATATATGACAATAATAAAGGAAAGAATATTATAGACTCTGCCTCTAGAAACCAGCCCAGCAATCACTGTGATTTTATGAGAAGGTATGAATATTTTAACAAAACCATTTCTCATTGATTCTTATTTCCATGTGATGCCATTCTGTGGGCTCTGTGCCCTTCTGATGCATGTTAGATATTTTGCTTCTCCTGAACTATTGAACTGTGCCTTGCTTGGTCCCTATTCAAATTATTACTTTGCCTTATTCCCTCCTAGTCTGAAGCATACTCTAGAGAACAGAGAGCTGCTACTAATGAATTCTCCATGCACCCCAAGGAGCACTAATCGAGATTCTGTAGAAATTTCATTAGCACTCTGTGCCCTGAAAATCTATTTAGCAAGCAAAGGGGTTTTTTTCAGATACAAGGCATGCACAACTGTAGCTTGGTAGCTAAGGCTTCAGGAAAATATGAGTGAAATGTTTGGAGGAAATACTCTCACTGTATAGAAAAAGGGAATTTTTATCACTTTACTCTTCCTTTTGATAAGACTTTGCTGAGGTTTAGCAAAGAGAAGATGGAATTGTATGATTGTATAGGAATGCCTATATCCATTCAACAGGCCAATCAGAATTGTGATTTCTGTCTGTGCCCATTTCCACACAGTGCAGTCCTGCTCAGAGTTACTCTAGTATTAGTCCACTGCTATCAAAAGGCGTAGACTGGAGTACCTCTGCATAGGATTGCACTACCAGTCTCTTTGAACCTGATCTATACAGATATTTGGACAGACATTTGCAAAAGAAAACAAGATGCTCCTGCATGATAATATTGCATCTGTTTAACGCTATAATAAATACTTTTCCAAGGCAGTATGGGTGTTTTCTTGGGATCTCTCATTGTAATACCTCAGTTTTTACTATTTTACTGATTCTAGAAGTAAAGCCACTTGGGAACTTCTTGTTTTCTTTTGCAAATAGCTGGCCAAATGTATATAAGACAATTTACTACATTAGATCATTCCTTCGTAGACATAAACAACATATTTTCAAGGATGTGTTTATTGTTTATATGTGACTAATTTTGACAACAATATACTATAATGTGTATGACAACACATCATTGAAGAGTTTAATGTTTTCAATGCTATGAAGTGCAACCAAATATGCTGCTAGTCCTTCTGTGACTGTATTAAACTGTTTTGTACACCTTCTTTTGTTTATTACCCAAATCAGTTTTCTAATTTTAACTTTTATTTTTCCTACCTCTCGGATGGTAAATATTAAGACACATGTGCTCAGGAAGCATAGGCTGCAGCACTTCACAGCTCCCACATACGCTCTCTCTCTCACATACACATACTGGGTATATTTGTAGTTTTTCTTATAAAAAGCTAACAGAGCCTTCCTCAGGAGAAGAATGGATTTTAAGTCCATTGAAGTCAGTGAGCTTAGAAGGGTGCCTCTACTTAGTATTACACTATAAGGCATTTATACTTTTAAATTCCTCAAATATGCCTAAAAGTGTAATTTCATATAAGAACATAAGAGACGCCAATGTTGGATCAGGGCAAAGGCCCATCCAGTCCAACACTCTGTGTCACACAGTGGCCAGAAATACCAGGTGCCATCAGGAGGTCCACCAGTGGAGCCAGGACATTAGAAGCTAATTAAGATAAATTATATATGTTATTAAAGCAGTACAATAAGTTTAGCTGTGATAGAAAAGTACATATTGCATATGTTTCAATCTCCCCCCCCCCATTTCTATTTGTATTTATTTATTAGTATTTTTACCCCGCCCTCCCCGCGAGCGGGCTCAGGGCAGCTTACAAGAGGGCAACAATGCCCACATATAAAAGAAAATTAAAACAACTTAAAACAAAAATAAAAATATTTTCTTTTTTTTAAGCCCCATGGCTTCAAAATTTCCGGAAATGTTACATCTGTAGCAGTAGGTGATGGCCATCAAGGCATGGTCACTTGGGAAATGGTAATCCCTTTAAAATCAGAGTTTTTTTTCCAAGTCTGAGCTGCACTAATATGTTTGGGTGGGAGTATGTTCATTTTCATTCCAATGATAAATATTATGGGAAGTGGAACCTCAAGAATCGGTGATACTGGAACATCTGGCCTTTTACACAAACTGAAGAGGTGGCATAGAAATATTCTAAATAAATAAATGAATAAATAGTCACTGTAAACTGTATTTTAACTTTATATGCTCACTGAACAAGCACTTGTGCATCCATTTACACAATAACATTATGTTGTCTACCTCTGTATTCATTTGGAACTCAATTCAGTGTGCTGTAAAATCTTTTACTTTCTTCCTTCTGCCTTACCATTTCTGCCTCTGATTTTCAGATAGGCCAACACACCATTCATGGTCACTTTCACCCTACATTTGCTCCAGTTATCTCCACCTTACAGAATTTTGTCAGTGCTAAAAGATCATCTGCTGATTCCTCTCATAAAAACTCAGGTATGGGATAGGAAGCACAAACAGCAATAACCCTGTAGAGTATGGTATTTTATTCTGTTTTATCAATGCTATCTTATTCTGATCACCTAGAACACTTATTAGAATGTTCATCTGTATGTAGCAAAGGAACAGTAACTGCAATAATGCCTACACTTGGGAAACCCCCCAGAACAGTCATGCAGAGGAGCATTTCCTGCAAAGAAGCAAGCTGTCCTATAGCAAGCCAGAGATACTTAGTGTTAAACTGATGAGCTGGATAATGATAGCTGGCTGTGGCTGGGGTATTAACTGGGTGATTGGAAGAATCATACCTAATTTTGAATTTGGCCTCAGAGTGTGTACAAAAACTCTGCACAATGGGGCCATGTACAAAAACGAGAGATGTTTCTGCAAACCTGGGGAAAATTGTTTTGCAAAAATAAAATCTGAAAAAATTTAAAAACTAAAAAAGGGGTTAAAATGTCCCAATCAGATGAACGATGTCTATAGGTGCAAAGACACTGCATCTAGGAATGAAACTACCCCAAACAATGCATATTCCATGATAAGCCAAAGTAGAGGGGAGAAGCAGGGAGCCACTACAAGTAGGGGGCAACGTGAGTAGCAGAGGGATGGAAGTGTGAAGTTGTGGGGGATAAAGACAAGGGGAATGTAAAGATAAGAGATGGGAGTAAATGGAACCTCTGGAAGGAGGGGACCAGAAGAGGTGGTGGAATGGGGGAAATGGAGGCACCAGAGAAGAAAGGGCTCACAGGCCTCCAACTCAGCTGACAGGCGGTGAACCTGGGGCTGAAACTACACACAGAACACCCACTCATATAATACAAGTACTATCCCCAACTCTACATTCTATTTTGGTGACTCAGTTCTTTCTTAGGCCATGCAACTGACAAAGTTACCTGTTACCTTCTATATCCAACTCAAATTACTAACTTTAAATTCCTATGAAGAGGTACCTCAGTCTAAACCCATTGAAATCCACAACTGAGACTGGAGCAACTCTGCATAGGATTGCTCTGTTAGTCTTTGATTTGTTATATGCATATGTACTGTTCCATTGTTGAGTGGTGAAACAGTATATGACAGTAACTGGATGTTATCTATGGTATTTTCCCACATCAGCAATCCATTCTAGTTACACTGTAGAACATGTAGGGTTAGCATTGTACTAGCCATGATGAACCCAAAGAAGAACAAATTAATAAGTAAATCAATATAATGGCATTAACCATAGGCCAAGCTATACTATAGCCTCCTTTGTGAATGTGTGCAATTGTGTGTAAGTATTTGATGGAGGAATTCATATAAACACATCCAGGCACTTGAATAAGCCAGGTGTGGCTAATCTGCATTGGGTAGTGGAGAGGACCCATCTCTTCCATGATTATCATCTGGTCTGGCATGACCAAGCTTTTTGCTCAATGGTAATTTTAGAAGGGTTACCTGGTGAGGACCTAGTCTCCTGGCACCATTTTGTCTTAATTTCAGTATTTAATTGTTTATTTCTTTATTAGTTGGAGCAGATATGGGTCCAAGGACTGTGGAGATTACAAGGGTAAGCTTTTAAAAATTATTACCTCTTATCTCAAGTGAACACCGTACTCTTATCTCAAGTGAACACTTATCTCAAGTGAACATTGCATATATTAGTATCTGTGTATTCAGATCAGAATTTTTATTTACAGATTATTGTGACCTTTATGACATATGATTGGCTTAAACTGTGCAAAATCTGACCTTCCTACAAAGCATCACTAATTGGATACAGTCCTGCAGTCATCTTTTCTCAGCATTACATATATGCATGTTGGAAGTAACATTTGTAGGAGACTGCCACTGCAGAGCTACTGTGTATAGTTGAACAATCTGAGCATGGGACCTACCCAAACCTCAAGCACCAAGAAGTGCTGTATGGGTTTTTGGTCTATAAATGGAAATGTTCTGCATGTGAGGTTTAGTGTTGTGAAACATTCAGTTTCCTTTAATCAAACACATGAATTGGTGAATTTTGCATCATAGCACATGCTTTCTTTATTAAGAAGCCTACATAAGAATTATAGTGTTAAACAAACATGTGTAAATGCGTATATTGTGTATTCTGTTGTAACAACCATCTTTCTATTAAGGGACTGAATGATGCTCTTGGTATCAGTATAGCTGGTGGCAAAGGGAGCCCATTGGGAGACATTCCAATCTTTATTGCCATGATTCAAGCCAGCGGAGTAGCAGCACGTACACACAAGCTCAAAGTGAGTGAAACTTTCCCTTCAAATATGTTTGCTTTGCTGCTGCTCTTTTTATTCTTTCAAAGGAGGATTTCTTCTGTTGCAAGGATCATATCTTGATGAAGAAATCCTGGTAGCTACTTCCATTTCTAAACATGATAGCTGCGTCCCTTCTTACTTCCATCTTTTGATGGTTAGCTACGACTGTGTGTGTCAGCTTTATGACTGACTACATAAAAACAACCACAGCATAGTAGCTGCTTCTTAATGTACTTTGTGACTGGAATCAAGGGCATAATCCCAGATTCTATCATCTGTAACTAGAGAAGAGAGCATGGAAAATAATGAATAACCCTTCTGAATTTATGTATAAAGAAATGTGGGCTGCTTTGTATAGATACTTAAGCCTTTGTATCTGACTTTACTTTGTCCTCCATGTATTTATTTATTTATTTCTATTCATATCCCGCCCTTCCTGCAAGCGGGCTCAGGGTGGTTTGCAACAATAAATTACAATAATAAGAACAGTTAAAGCAGGGATGTCGAACATAAGGCCGAGGGGCTGGAACTGGCCGATCCAGAGCTCTTATGCAGCTCCCAAGCAACTAGTGCAAGGGAGGAAACAGGAGACTGCTTAGGGGGAGTGGGGGGAGCCACTCTGATTGTGGCTTCAGCATGGTGGGCCAACTTCGTCTGCAGCAGTCAAGCAGCATGGGAGTGTCTGCTCAGTGCTGCACCACTGGCTCTCCAGTCCACCCATATGAGTTTTCCTTTACACCCCCGTTCCAGCCCATGGGGACTTGCAGTGAGAATACAATACCCCGGAGCTTACCAGCTGCTGTCCTTTATACAGTTTATTTATTTATTTACATTTATACCCCGCCCTCCCCGCGAACGGGCTCAGGGCAGCTCACATAGGGCACCAAGTGCGTTCAATATCCAAAATTACATAATACAAAATACAAATTAAAACAAGTTAAAATCAGTTCTATGGATGCACATAAAGACTCCTAACATCTTGCGTAGCAGGGCGGAAGGTTGGGGTGATGGAAAGATGTTCCCCCCCCCCCCCGGTACATTTTATGGCACATGTGGCCCGGTTCAACAAAGTGACATTTATGTCAGATCCGGCCCTCGTAACAAATGAGTTCAAGACCTCTGAGTTAAAGGATAAATATCAGAACAATAAAAACAGTTAAAACAGTTAAAAGGTAGGCATTGTGACAGATTACACATTCAGCGGTCCTAATAGCTGAGAGCAATTGGGCTGCAGCCGAACCATAGATATCTTGCTAATGGCAGTATAACATTGCCAGATAGCAGATGCCTGCATGACACTGACATATGATGTCCATTTATCCAAATATTTGGCAAAAAGACTACTCTAGATGTTCAAAATCTTATATACGCAATGGAGAAATGAATGCTACTGTGGCTTATATCCTAACAGTATGTTCTTTTGTCAGAAGGTATGTCTGCCAGCAAAAATTAGAGAACAGGATTTCTCCTTCAGTGGGGGAAGTCATCTAGACTTGGTTAGGTCATGCCTCTGTTTGTTCCTGGTAGGACTAGGCAAATTTCTGTGAGTCCCTCTGTTGGAGAGATCAAAGGCTGACCCATCCAGTTTGGATAGCCCTACTGCTCCTTTAGGATGCTTTGAGCTTTGCTCCCTCCCCAAAAAATAAATGAATAAATCTAGTCACAGAAATCCTAGGAAATGCTGGGGAGGATCCTATGGCTCTGGCCAGCCTGAAAAAAACTGTCCCAGCAGCAAAAAAGAGAGAGAGAAAACCTAGGCTTCGGGCTGTGTGGAGGGACCTCTGGAAAGTCTCCTGATGGCCTCACAGCCAGCTGTGGGGTGTGTGTGTGAAAGACCTGAGGCTTTGGGTTGCAATTCTCCCCTGACACCAGCCGCCGCCAATCAAGCCTCAACCTGGCTGGAATCACAGACAAGTGCAGTGTGCAGCAGCGGGCACCACACCAGTTCCAAGAGCCATGGAAGCCTTTGAGAGGTGAAGATCAGTTTGCAAGATGCTGGGGGTAAGATTGCCAACCTCCCAGGCAGAGAGAGGGAACAGTCTATCCAGCAAGCCCCTGAACAGATGGCCAGGATGTGGGGGAACTCTAGTAACAACCCTCCCTGGGCCCAGTTCTTTATGAGCAGCAGCCTATTCAAGCAGCCCCAAACATGGCACCCAGAGCAGCACACTTTCAACTCCCGGCACAGAATGGATGGCCCAGGCCTTGAGAGCTTCATGGCCTTTTCCTACCACTTGGGGGCTCCCTTTTCTAAGTCCAATTCAACTGCCCACTCCAGGGTTTCCCTTTTGCCAGTGGCCTCAGGAACAGAAGCAGTTTACAGAAAGGCAGGGAAGGAAGTGGCAGCAAGGGAGGGATTCCCCATCATTTTCACAGTCTCCAGACTCTTCATCATCAGAGGCTCCTCTGCCACTCGGCAGAAGAGGCAGACCTTCACAAGGCTCTAAATCTTCTAAGGCTCACTCTTCTGAAGAGTCAGAGGAGGAGTCTCAGGCACCCATATCATCTAAGACTTCCAAAAGGTCTGAGGTGCAGGACATGCATAGTCAAACTAGGAGATCCATCCACCATTTACCTTCTCCAGACTCTGAATTTGGAGAGCCTTCTTTGATCCAAATTTCTGCAGAGGGGACATCTGACAGAGGAAAGATGGAATGGTCTGCAGAGAAGGCTAATGTTCAGGAAAAGTCATCTAGACTCTTTCAGGCAGAACATTCCCAATACCTATTAAATAAAGTCATCAGTACTGTTAACTACCAACTGGATATTCCAGAAAAACCCACACCAACCTCAGCCAATGTAGATAGCAGAGGATTTAAGAGACCCACCAGTTTCCAAACAGTATTGCCACTCCCAGTCTTCTTCAATGAAGTCATTAAGGCGGAATGGGCACTACCAGGCAGTGGAAATTCTTTAGCCTTAATAGCCAGAAAGTTTTATGCATTGCCTATCAATACCATGGAGGATCTCAAAATACCTCTGATGGACACCCCAGTGGTTGCACTGCATTCTAGCACAGTGTTACCTAAAAATGGTGAAAATGCCCTCAAGGACTCAGTGGATTACAAAAATGAAAGAGCCTTAGAGATGCCACAGGAGGCTTCGTCTGTAGCCATCAGGGCATCAGCCTTGTTATCCAACTTCATTCAAGCCATAGTTATCTGGGCAGACAGTTTGCTGCAAAACCCACAGATCCCTTAGAGCTAAAAAGGACATTGCTTAAAATAAAAAGAGCCAACCAGTTTTCCTCAGATGCCTCTCAGGATTCGATACAGTTCTGTGCCAGAGCACAGGCAGCTGACACCATCATTAGAATGAACATCTGGCTCAGATACTGGAAAGTAGACCCACTGTCAAAAAGCAACCTTTCTTTATAAAAGTTCTCAGGAAGACTAATGTTTGGAGAATCTATGTTAGACAAGTTTTTAGTGGAAACAAAGGAAAAGAAAAAAGCTATGCCATCTATGTCTGGTATAAGAGAGAAGGAAGCTAGGAGTAAGTCAATGCAATCCTTTTGTGGCTACAGACCACCTCTTAGAGGAAGGGACATTAAAAAATTCCAACTGCCTAATCTCATCTATGGGTGGTCCATCCTTGCCCACAGTACCAAAATTGAGGCAAGAAAGTTTCCAAATCAGCTGTAGCCTGTTGGGTGAAGCAATGTATATTTAAGGCATATGAAATTCAAGGCCTGGCACCTCCCAGAAATGCGACAGCCCATTCTACAAGAGCAGCAGCCACTTCAGCAGCCTTTTTGACCAGAGCACCTGAGCTGGAGATCTGCAGGTCCACCACTTGGTCCACTTTCACTACTTTTGTAAAACATTATAAAATTGACAAAGCAGATCTAGTCCTGCGCCAAGTTGTGGAAGCTTATGATGTATGTTCAGTCCCACCCTTAATGTTGCTTTGGTATAGATAACCAAGTTTAGATGACTTCCCCCACTGAAGAAGAATGAATCTTTGGAACCTACCTGAAGGGTTTTTCTCTTTACTGGTTGAAGTCATCCATTATCCACTAAAAAAAGGAAGAAGAAGAAGAAACAGAGATGAAGGAGCACAGTCAGAGTAAGGCTTGGAGATGACTGGGAGGGGTTGTTGCGCAGCGCGTCTGAAGCACTCTTTCAGCAACACCAGCCACCAGGACTTTTCCAGCCACTCCAGCACTCACCAGCATTCACTGCAGTGGAGGTCCTATATAGCACCACATGTACACAGTCCAGTGGTATACTATATACAGGTTTATTCACAATATGTACACTCCACCGACAAAGTGCTCCGCCATACACATGAGAATAAGAGAAGGAATACAGAGCTGGTACATGTCCACATATATACACATCATAACCAATCAGCTTCATGCTGAGTCATAATGACTGGACTTGCTTCAGTTCCAGTCATAACCGGTTGGAACCTGTTATCTACAGCTTGTCAGCTCTCACTTAGATCCTACTGATCTGAGTGCTGAGGATTAACTACCAACAGGGGTCAGCCTTTGATCTCTCCAATAGAGGAACTCACAAAAATTTCCATAGCTCTACCAGGAGCGAACAGAGGCATGACCTAACCAAGTTGGGATGACTTTGCCTCACTGAAGAGAAGAAACTTTCAGGTAGGTTCCAGTGTTTCATTCTGGTTCCTCCCTCCCACCTGTAGGCCCCTCTTCATTCTCCCCTGCTGTTCCCAGGAATCAACTAATTTTCAGGGACATGATTCTGGGAGGCACAGTACTTTGCAGCAAGAGTGGGGGAGGGACTTCACTTCTGGAACTGTTACTCTGCTTTAGCTTAGATAGGATCTGAGCCAACCTCTTCTGCATGGAGAAAGTAAAGCCAGTGAAGGGTGTATTATTTGCATACCACTTGACACTTAATATGGATATTTTATTTTTATTAGATTTGTATTTTATCTCCTGAACTTTTGAAAAGGAGTGAGATTAATGTGAACAATTTAAAATGTATAGAACTGTTGTCAGCACAATAGCCTGTGTCTTTGTGGCTCACAGCTCATATGTATTTGCCTTGAAAGATCATCGGTTTTCATATATAGTTTTCATATTGAACGAGCCAATTTCATACATGTAAAATGGTATTTTCCATGTAGAATGAGTTCTTATGCTGTTCCTCTTGACTCCAGCATTACAGCAGTAAAACCCAAGTGTTTTTGTTGGCTGATACTCCCAGGATGAATATTTTACTCTCACTATGAAGAATGCTTATTAATCAGTGGAAATACAGCAGATCTCTATTGTCTTACTATAACTGAGAAACATTGATGTGCAATGCCAAACTTGCAAGCAGTATTAAGCACGCCTCCAATTTCCCTTAATGCTAGTAATTTTCTGTTGGTTTTGTTGCTTTTTTTAAAGGTGGGAGATCGGATTGTCAGTATTAACGGGCAGCCTTTGGATGGGCTGTCTCACGCTGATGCAGTTAATCTACTGAAGAATGCTTATGGGAGCATTATCCTGCAGGTATGATGATAAATTGAACATGCAGCTGTGCGAGGATAGATAAATGGTGTGTTAAAAAAAAGATTGAGCATCACTGGCACAAGACATCACAGCACAGTAGGGTTTTGGCTGATGTGAATTACGCAAGATGAAAGCAAAAAATTATTTCACTGAAGAATTCTTTATTTGTGCCCATATAGACTGTAAGCATGATTATATAAAAGCAAAACAAGGAGAAAGAGGGAGGGAAATGTAACACATGAAAAATCATCTATGATTATAATTTGTCACTTTTTTCTTTAAACCCCCCCCCCAAAAAATGGTACAAATAGAAAATTATTTACTTTTTTTTTTTTTGCTTCATAATTCTGAATGAGTTGTCCATCATGCTAAGTTCCTTGTTCTTCAAAGGAAAGATCAAGAGAAACAGCAGTGCTAGTTTTGTAGAGTTATCCAATTTTCTTCTGCATAGGACTGGTTATCAACCAAACTGCAGTGTCCGGGTATTACAACTGATAAGTTATTTTAATTATGTAGATGAGAAATGTGTCATTAACTAAGATGATCACTGTTGTCTTTGTAAATTACAAGGCACTTACTTTATTTCTTTACAACCCCCCTCCCCCATCAGCACACTTAAAAAGAATGAGCATAGAGTATTAAGCAATTTTAAATCCCATTAATTTCAATGAAGGAAAAGAGGAACTCCCAATATGAGATGGATTAACTCATTAAAGGGCATGGCCTTTAGTTTATAAGACTGATAGGACATTAGAAGGACTGTTCAAAGCACCATGAGCAAGTCCTAGGAGGATCCTGTCTTCAGGATCTTTAGTCAAATGGAAAAATTAGTACAATACCTGAGTCATTTAAGGATTTGTTTTAGCTGGCAAATTCTTTGAGTGAATTCAGGTTAAAAGGGATGGGGATATTTTCCTTCTTCTGGGCGAGTGGTGAAGTAATCACATAATTGATTTGCCACACCTGCAGATCCTAATTTGGAAGAATATAGAGCACACAGATGTCATCATGTGATGGTTCAGAATGTCCGCTGAAAACTACAGTTCACAAACGACTAACTCTGAAGCAGAACAAAAGTTCAGCATACATGGTTTATAGCTATTAATTTGAAAGTGTAAATCCTGCACAATGACTTTCAGGGTAGTATAATAAAATAAGAGTTCAGTGGAACCTTAAGTATATAAGTGCTGTAAAGTCACAACCAACTTATGGTGACCCCGGCAAGGAGCTCTCAAGGCAAGTGAGAAGCAGGGGTGGTTTCTCATAGCCTTCCTCTGCAGGATCTTTCTTGGTCACCTCACAAACAAGTACCGACCCTGCCTATCTTCCAAAGTCTGACAAGGTTGGGTTATATCATGCTGCCTTCACTCCAAAACTTAAAGATTAAGAAGATTTATTTTCTTTTGTGAATCAGAACTCACTTCCTCAGAAGCAGTGTCTACTATTTATTTATTTTTATTTAATTAATTTATATCCTGCCCTTCCCACGAGGGCAGGCTCAGGGTGGCTTACAGTCATATATAAAAATACATTGTACAAATATTAAAACACATAAAACAGTTAAACACAACAAAGTGCAAAGTGCTAGCAGTACAGTAAACAGTAAACAACGGCGGCCTTCTTTCGGCATCCAGATATAACAATCACCATATTCCAGGTTCCTTGCTAGGCTATCAGGTATTACTTTAGTGCTGGTGTTACTTTGGTGCTGATGTTAGGGCTGGGGCCACGATGTTACCAGTGGCCCCTTAATTAAAAGCCTGGTGGAAGAGCTCCGTTTTACAGACCCTGCGGAACTGCTAAAGGTCCCGCAGGGCCCTGATGTCCTCTGGGAGCTCATTCCACCAGTGCGGGGCCACCACAGAGAAGGCCCTGGCCCTTGTCTCTGCTAGCCTGGCTTCTTTAGGGCCCAGAAGGGCCAGACGATGTTGGGATCCAGATCTTAGTGCCATCTGGGGAACATGTAGAGAAAGGCAGTCCCTCAGGTAAGTAGGTCCCTGACCATATAGGGCTTTAAAGATCAAAACCAGCACCTTGAACTGAATCCGGTATGTTATTGGCAGCCAGTGCAGTGCGTTTAGGGTGGGCTGGATGTGCTCCTGCACAGGAAGACACAACAACAGCCTCGCCACTGCATTCTGCACCAGCTGCAGCTTCCGGATCTGGGACAAGGGCAGCCCCATGTAGAGAGCATTGCAAAAATCCGATCTCGAGGTGACCATTGCATGGATCACTGTTGCCAGATCATTGCATTCAAGGAAAGGAACCAACTGCCTAATCAGCCGTAGATGGTAAAAGGCTGCCTTGGCAGTGGCTGCTACCTGGGCCTCCGTCGTTAAGGAGGCATCCAGGAGCACTCCCAGACTTCTAACCTCTGCCACTGGCACCAACGGCGCCCCATCGAAGGTCAGGAGTGGGATCTACAGGCTAACATGGTTACCTATCTGGAATTATTCAAAGTAGCAGGTTCTGAACTGGATGTTAGAGAGTCCAGTTGCATGACTTTATGTGGGACCTCACCTTATGATACATTCAACACAGAGAAAACATAATTTTGCTAGCAAGCCAATGCAACATGAGTAGTTTAGAGCTGGATCCAATCTGAAGCCACTAATGTAACATGGCGGCTGTATCATGTGGACTGGTTCAGAATATCAATTTTAGATGGAGAGGGGCAAAATAGTCATAGAGTGAAGAAGATGACACTGATAAATGGCATTGTCAGTCACTTTGACAATTGCCAGCCAATAACATGAAACTAATGGAATGTGATGATGCCATTGTGGTCTAGTTCCCTAAACAGAATGCAGGCAGTAATATCTTAGAATAACAAGAAAGTGAGTGTTGATAGCATGGCATGCAAAGTGCCAAAATCCTTGCTTATTACATGAGTACCACCTGAGAAGCAGACTGTTAAATGCTCCTTTTTTAAAAGGCTGCTGCTCCTTCTGCAATATGTTTTTTATTTAACAATAATTGACTTAAAATAAAGTTGGGGGGGGTTCTCACACATTTTAATTAATTAGAACTTTCTTAATCCCACTTTCAAATGTTTCATATTTTGAGTGAAAATTTCCTTTGAGGGAAGCTGTCATAATTAGACAGTTGTATCATATGTTGTATCATATGTTGTATCATATGACAGTTGTATCATATGATAGCAGAAAAATAGGGCATGCTAAGCAGGAAATGACTATTTCTTTTTTTCTTTTTACTTTTATTAAGTAGGTGTAAGAACATAAGAACTTAAGAGAAAGTCATGTTGGATCAGGCCAATGACCCATCCAGTCCAACACTCTATGTCACTCGGTAGCCAAAAACTAAGTGCCATCAGGAGGTCCACCAGTGGGGCCAGAACTCCAGAAGCCCTTCCACTGTTGCCCCCCAAGCACCAGGAATACAGAGCATCACTGCCCCCAAACATGGTGTTCCATCTATATTAGCCACTGATGGACCTCTGTTTCATATGTTTATCTAATCCCCTCTTGAAGTTGGCTGTGGTTGTAGCCACCACTACTTCATGTGGGGGTGCATGCCACGTGTTAATTACTCTTTGGGTGAAGAAGTACTTCCTTTTACTGTTCTAATCCGACTGCTCAGCAATTTCATTGAGTGTCCACAAGTTGTGAGAAAGGGAGAAAAGTACTTCTTTCTCTGCCTTCTCTATCTCATGCATAGTTTTGTAAACCTCTATCATGTCACCCCCTCAGTTGTTGTTTCTCCAAGCTAAAAAGCCCTAACCTCTTTAACCTTTCTTCATAGGGAAAGTGTTCCATCCCCTTAATCATTTTAGTTGTCCTTTTCTGTACTTTTTCCACTGCTATAATATCTTTTTTGAGGTGTGGTGACCAGAACTGTTCACAGTATTCCAAATGAGGCTGCACCATCAATTTATACAGGGACATTATGATACTGGCTGATTTGTTTTCAATTCCCTTCCTAATAATCCCCAACATAGCATTTCCTTTTTTATTGCCATTGCACACTGAGTCAACATTTTCAGTGTGTTAGCTACCACGACTCCATGTTTTCCGGTGATCCTGGGAGTGGGGCAGTCCTTACTCTTGGGAATAGGCTCCTTCTCTGGAACACGGTCGGTTTCCTCAGATCAATCCAGGAAGGAGTGGGGCTTGTCCCCTGGGAACATCCCAGTCTCACTGGCCCTGCTGCTTGAGCAGGATGTGTTTCACAGGAGCTCTGTAGAGCACAGCGATCCAGGAATGAGAAGAAGAGAAGGAGGAGACCCTCCCTCTTCATTATTTCAAGCCGTGGTCGGCATCAGACCGCAAAGGCAGCCAACAGTGCTGGGAGATCCCCAGCAGCTGTGGCTGTGTACGCAGACTCCCACCGGGCCCAGCCTGTGGCTGGAATTTGCCTCCCCAACCAACACACATCAGGGGAAGTGGCTGAGTCTGTAAGGAGACTGGGACAAAGCCACAAACTTGGCCAATCTCCCTGGTCTCGGTGGACCCGGTGTGTGGTCGAACAGTCAAGCCAGGAGCCTCTAGCCCTCGCCAGAATCATGGTAAGCCATGGAACAGACAGGGAGCTAGAAGGCCCAGGGAAAGCCATAGAAGGGCAGGGAAATTGACAGTGGCCATCTTAGTTCCCTGGACCCTCATGGTTGACTTACTTTCACTTTCTCTCCCAGGCAAGTGAATAGAAAATGGCTGCCAGTTAGACCTGCCAGTTCCCTGTTCCCAGACCTGGATAGCCCAAGCTAGTCTGATCTGTTGAGGTCTCAGAAGCTAAGCTGAGTCAGCCCTGGTTAGTACTTGGATGGGAGGCCACCAAGGAAGTCCAGGATCACTATGCTGAGGCAGGCAAGGGCAGCGGCCCTGGCTAGCCCAGTTGATCAAATCTTCTGAGCCTGCTTTGCGGGGAGAGCGGGGTATAAATCTGATAAATAAATAAATGATATCTTGGAAGTTAAGCATGGTCAGCCCTGGTTGGCTCTCTAGCTTCGTCTGTCTTTTGCCTTGAAAACCATATGGGGCTGC